TTTGCTTGATAACATTCTTCCTTTATCTATGCGAACAAGTATTATTACTTTGTTGCCAAAAAAGGAAGAGATTTATTACTTCTCTTAAATTGGCGACCAATATTACTTCTTAACAGTGACTATAAAATTTAATCAAAAATTCTCTCATTACAAATGAAAAAGGTTTCGGGGCTTTTGATAAGTAATGACCAAATGGTTTTATTAAAGGACGTTTTATTGGAGAGAACATACGATTATTTATTGATATACAAAGCAAAAAAAGAAAATATTGACGATTTAGCTTTGAGTATTGACTTTGAAAAAGGTTTTGATATGATAAACTGGAATTGTATGTACGACGCTCTTTATGTATTTGGATTTGATCAGTATTTTATTAATTGTGTGAAATTACCGTGTACAGATATACAAGGACGAGTTATTGATAATGGGTTCGCGTCAGATTCTTTTGAGATAAAGCGTGGTGTGAGACAGGGATGTCCTTTGTTTACATATCTTTTTATTATTGCAGTTGAAGTACTTGGCTGTTTCGTGAGACAAAATAAAGATATTCGTGGGTTAAAAGTATTAAATGAGGAGGTGAAGATTAGTCAATATGCAGATGACACGGTTATTTTGTTTTAACCTTAATATTCGTAGATGCGTTAAAGTCTTGAATGATTTCAAAGAAGCTTCTGGTTTGAAAATTAATTTTGAAAAATGGAATATGATTAGACTGGAAAATCGTAAAGTTATTATGCCTGTGTGTCAGGACATTCCATTTATTTAGCCTTCAGATCATTTTACATAATTAGGTATCAACATTCCTTTGAATGGTAATTTGAGTTTTCATGATCTTAATTTTAAATCAAAATTTGAGGAAATTAAGACAACGTTGAATATATGGAATCGTAGGTCTTTAACCTTGTATGGAAAAATGACCATTATTAAATCTCTAGTTATACCAAAATTGATTTATTTACTTTGTATTCTTCCTGATCCCCCTTTATCATTCTTTGAGAACTTCAGAGAGTACTCTTTAAATTTGTATGGATCTAGTAATAAGAAGGACAAAATTAGACGCCCTTTGCTTTACAATGAATATAAAGTAAGAGGCCTTAAAATGCCTCATTTATTATCTTTTAACCGTGCAATGAAAGTTACTTGGATAAAGAGATACTTTGATGAAGAAAACAAAAAGTAAATGGAAAATGTTTTTTGCACATTCTCTGAGACGTATGGGAGGTGATATTTTTTTAGCGGCAATCTCCGCTCTGATCATTTAATGTTCAATAAATACGCAGATCCTTTTTGGAAAGATATATTGATAGCACTACAAGTGCTACAACCCAGTTAAATTCAAAGAAATTATTTCCCAACCCCTTTGCCTGAATTTCCATATACTGGTAGGCGGAAAATCTCTCAATATTAATATTATACGTTTTAATTCTGATATGATATATGTTAACGATATTTTGCGCATCGATGATTCATTTATGTCTCTTGATCAAATCCAACGCCAAATGGATTTTCTGTCTGGTTCATTTATGTTATATTATTCAGTTTTTTTCCGCATTACCTAGTAGTTGGAAACGTATTCTTAAACAGGAAAACTTTAAAATAGAAAGTTCTTTTCTAAATTATGTTGATACTTTAATGAACGAATTTCGTAAACCTAAAAAGATATCAAAACTTACTTACAATATTTTCTTAAACAAATTTTCAGCAAATAAATAAAACAGGATGAATGGCGAAGGGATCTAAAAAATAATTTAAACGATTCATTAATTTGGAAATCCCGATTTACATTACTTTATAGGTCATCCATAGATAATAAAATGAGAAATTTCCAATTTAAACTTATTCATAGAAAAATTGCAACGCAAAGTTTCCTTTATAAGATAGGTATAAGTACTTCTTCAATGTGTACTTTCTGTGAAAATCATGAACAGACGTTGTCTCATTTATTTGTAAATTGTGAAAAAGTACGATCTTTCTGGAATGTTATGTTTGCATGGTTAAAAGAAAAGAACATACGAAATGTTTTGTGCACAGATGAAGAATATTTTTTTGGTACTCTTATAATCAATACTTTTTATTTTGTCAATACAGTTATTATTTTTGCAAAATATTTTATATTCACTTGTAAAATGGAAAATGTTATTCAACTATTTCCTTCTTTTCAACAAGCTCTCAAACATTTAGAAAATATGGAACGTATAATTGCTTTAAAAAAAAACCGTCTCGATCTTCATAAAAAGAAATGACAGATATTTTTTTTTTTTTGTATTGCTGATGAGTTAACTATTACACTATATTTTTTATTATACACATTCTATGTCTATACGAACATGTTATATTACTATTAATATTATCATGTATTATTATAATTATGAATGAGATTTGTTTGCAATAAATATTTTGAAGAAAAAAAAAGAAAGTAATGAACATAATCGCGTGTAAGGAAACGAACCGTGATGAGATATACTATTATGATTAATTTGAAGGCTAGGTTTAATTAACAAAAACATGTAAAGATCGACATGGTGTTATTTAACATCCGTCCTTTTTTCAATAGGAAATTACTGTTAATTTGCTCTGGTTCCTAATGTTAAGAACCAGAGCAAAATAACAGTGATTTCCTATTGTTACGAACCAGAGAAAAATAACAGTGAATTCCTATTGAAATTCATTAATTGTGATCTCTCACATGAACTTAGAGCGAATAATCAATAATTTTTATTTCGTCAATACAGTTATTATTTTTGCAAAATATTTTGTATTCACTTGTAAAATGCAAAAACGTTATTTCACTATTTCCTTGTTTTCAACGAGCTCTCAAACATTCAGAAAATATGAAACGTATAATTGCTTTAAAAAAAACGTCTCGATCTTCATAATAAGAAATGGCAGATATTTTGTTAACTTTTTTTTTTATTGCTGATGAGTTAACTATAATATAGTGTAATAATTACACTATATTTTTTATTATAGATATTCTATGTCTATACGAACATGATATATTTATTATTATCATGTATTTTTATTATTATGAATGAGATTTGTTTTCAATAAATATTTTGAATTAAAAAAAAAAGAAAAGAAGTAATGAACATAATCGCGTGTAAGGAAACGAACCGTGATGAAATATACTATTATGATTAATTTGAAGGCTAGGTTTATTTGACAAAAACATGTAAAGGTCGACATGTTGTTATTTAATATCCGTCCTTTTTTCAATAGGAAATCACTGTTAATTTGCTCTGGTTCTTAATGACCAGAGCAAAATAAGAGTGATTTCCTATTGAAATTGGAATGTGTGATTGTACAACAGTATACTGATTAAGGTGGACACGCCTTGTTATTGTGACCTTCATTATTCCGCACCAATACCGCGGATAGTCATTCTGCATTAACGTGACGACGACGATATGATAATAAACTAGGGAATTTCAGATTGGCACGTAGACTGCTACGTGTGACGTCCTTTTAAAAAGTCGCTATTTTTCAGGATATACACATATTTGAACAGATGAAGAATGGTACCATATACAGCGCATAGCCATGGAACTGATATTTATGGATTGATATTTATGTATTGACGGAGTTATAGCATCAGCGGGAGAAAGGAAGAGGTGAAGTCAGTAAAGTACCAGTCACCGCAAAGAAGGTTAGACTTGTGGACCAGTTCAGTAACTTCTGACGTCTCGTTTGTCAGATAACATGAATTGTATTGGTACAACTGGTGATTGCTAAGAGATATATTATTGTTTACGTGACCAAAACAGCTTGAGCAATTTGTGCTGCCCTATTCATCTACAAGGAAAGTTGCACTACGAAAGACATTTCAGATTGGATTAGGATTGGATCAGATTTTATTTTATTGAATGAGACTTGATTCACACCTGTCTTATTAAATCTTCCCAACGAAACCTACCACAATGGAAGTCTTCATTAAGGGACGGTTCTTAATGTTCGTATTTACAATCCTGTTGAATTTGATATTACTTTGCGTCTGTGAAGAACATGTGAACTCAACACTTTTCACTCCATATGTTATCAAGTGTCCGGTTGTACCGCTACCGACAGGTAATAGCAGTTGCCAATGTAGCCCTCCAAACATCACAGTCACAGACGCTGACTCCCTTGCTGCATTTCAGTATGTCTCCTGCAAATTGAATCCTTATTTGATCAGTGAAACTAACCCAGATCCATTTTATTTCCCGCGATCCAGGAAAGTTTATATTAATTGCTCATGGAACGATTCTCTCAGTTATTCCGACTTTTTGAAGAGCGCGGTAAAAAAATGTGGCGACATCGCCGAGGAAGTTGTTTCCATTGGCAATGATTGCTTTACACCCTTTAACATCACCGCCGATACGTATATGGATCTACCTGGTCTGCAGAAATTCCACCTCGCTTTAGAGGATGATGTATCCATTAAACCCAATGCCTTTTCTCCCCTCAAAAACCTTGAGGTACTGTCACTGGTTAAACTTGATTTAAAGTCTCTGCATCCAGAGATTTTCAGAGGGTTGACCCACCTTCGGGAACTAAGTTTGTGGGATAATGACATTCGAGAACTCCCCGATGGTATATTCAATGATCTTCAGGACTTGCAGGTACTGTCCCTCATGAGCAATAGCATTACGCACATCTCCCGTGACCTATTGAAACCCCTCGAATTCTTGAACACATTATACCTAAATGACAATAACATTTCATCCATACATGCTGATGCGTTCCGGTCGATGAGGTCCCTCAAAGAAGTGGGTTTGTCACGAAATAACCTTGATGAGAAGTTCAGTCTGAGTTTCTTAGGTACTGAGAGGCTTTTACTCTCCTACAATTCATTGACTTCATTCACAGAGGACACTGTGCCAGGAGTCCGGGAACATACAACCTCGTTAGATTTGTCACATAACTTAATATCGTCCATTACCGAAAGGGTTTTTCAAACAGATGAGTTACTTTCTTCGCTTTCGTACGTCGATCTCCGTAACAACCGTCTCGAATCGTTGCCAATGAATGTCTTACGATGGGCAAGAAGGCTCACATTCGTCGACTTTAGTTATAACTCTTTAGAGACTCTCCACGATGGACTCTTCGATATTCAGTCGAACCCTCTCGGGGAACAGAGACTAGCTGGAAATCAGTTGGTGGTTAGGCTAGGTGGTAACCCTTTCACTTGCGACTGCCGTCTTACTTGGTTTCGTATTTATGACGGGCAGGCTGTTTGGATAAGTGATCGTGATGACATCGAATGCTTTTCACCACCCAACCTGAATGGAATACCATTATTCTCAATAAGGCCTGAGCATTTTGAGTGCCCCTTGTCCGATTCTCTGTGCCCAGGACATTGTCAATGCTTCGAGATTATGAAGGATTTAGGGCTTCAAACAGCTCGTGTGATCCATGTCGAATGTGAATCTGAAAATCTAACACGTATTCCGCGAGGCATACCAAGCAATACTTCATCGTTGGACCTAACCGGGAATACCTGGAACACTCTTAGAAAAAGTATGCTTGATACTCGAATGCCATTCTTAAGCGATTTGACGCTTACTAGCTGTAGTATTGTGAGGATAGAAAGCGGAGCGTTTAGACTCTTTAACTCAGTCCAGCAATTGAAACTCGACGGAAATAATGTTCGCAATCTAATGAAAGGGACGTTCCAGGGATTGACTCGACTTGACACGCTGTATTTAAACCACAGTTCCATCAGAACTATTGCTGATGGGGTATTTCTGGACACCCCAAGTTTAACATATCTCTATCTACACGGAAACTTTCTCACCGTCCTTCCTGCTATCCAGTACTTCCCTCAAAGTCTTGAAATAGTGAGCCTCCAAGAAAACCCACTAACTTGTAGCTGTAACTTGATCTCATTACAGGGGTTGGTCAGGTACACATTAGAGGTTAAGGGTAATGTAACATGTCGGGAGAGTGACGGCACCACCGTATCATTATCTAACCTCGATTCCTCTTACTGCAGGAAACATGGGACAAGTCCATTACTCGCATCACTTGCATCGCTTGGTGCCATCACTGGTGTTTTCGTGGTTGTATTCATTTGCGTTGTTATATACAAAAAGAACAAAATTGTCATCCAGCTCATGTTACTGCGTTACTTTCCTCAAGACCTGTCCGAAGATGACGCGAACAAACCCTTTGATGTCTTCATCTCCTATTGCCAACTTGACGACGAATTCGTGCTCCGTTACTTGGTGCCACTTTTGGAAACTGAAGATGAGCCTTCTTACACCATCTGTCTCCATCATCGTCACTTTGTCCCAGGCGACACCATCGCGAACAACATCGTGAGCGCCGTGGCGCAGAGCCGTCGTGTCATTCTCGTCTTGTCAGACAACTTCCTGCAGAGTGACTGGTGCATGTACGAGTTCCGTATGGCTCACCTTCAAGCGTTGCATGATCGCTGTAACACGTTGCTCATCATCACTCTTGGGGATGTCAGCCAAGACTCCCTTGATCCTGACCTGAAGGCATACATAAGAACTACAACATATCTCGAGTCTTTTGATTCGCAATTCAAAAACAAGCTCTTTTTAGCGCTAAAAAGAGGGCGCTCGAACCGAAGAACAGCACGGAATCAAATCAAACTCGTTGATTTTTGATGGAATATGATTTTTCCGTTGCATCTGTAGCAATAAAAGTAATATTTGTAGTGATACTATTATTGATACTATGTTGTCAAGGGTACGCGTTTGTCTGTGTTCGATGAAGCAACTAGAAACTTTATAACACATAATATATGTCATTCGTGAATAGTGTTTAGGACAACGGAGTAGCCATGGATTTCTACATGATTATTAATGGATGAAATTGTAGATTAAACTCAACACTCCGAGAAGTGTAAATAGGAATTCACATTTATTTACTTCGCATTATTTGTACAATGTGGTAAACATAATGATCAGTGTAGTAAATAATTCAAAAAGTAGAAGGAGCCGAAAACCCGGAAAGCAAGGCTCGTGTTGGGTACCCCCAATACCACTTATTACAAACAAAGAAAAGTTCTTGTATCAAAGAACATCATTATATTGATACGTTTCTTGCATCTAATAAGAAATCGATTAAAGACACAGTAGATGAAGACAAACTGAGAATAGAGTTAGGAATTGGAGGATAAGTTCATTTGAACGACATGTTAATAAGTAAATGGTGTATTTTAATTCGAGTCTTCTATACTAAGAGATTGTTACTATGACACCATCATCGAATACAGAATGTGCTGTAAAATAGGCAACATACATCTTATTCAAAACCGGCTGACAAAAAATGTCCAGAGGAGTATCCAATGATATATAATATATGACAAAGAATCGACATACCGTGCAACAGATGAGGTATGTACAGGCGCGTACACAGGGTGGGGGTGTTTGGGGGGTTAAACCCCCCCCCCCCTTTGGTAATTTTTTGTGTGTAAACCCCCCCTAAATTTCTCTAAACCCCCCCCCCCCCCTTTTGGATTTTTTTTTTTTTTTTTTTTTTTTTAATAAAAAAAAAATAAAAAAAAAAAAACCCATGGTTGACCTAAAAAAGATGACCTTACCCCCCCCCCCCAACGGAGCAAAATGTCAAATTTTCAAATTTCGAGACCAAAAAAGAAAAAAAATGTGTCCTCTTACCCCCCCCCCCCCCCCCCCCACCCCCCCCCCCCCCCCCCCCGCTTATTCAGCGGTCGGCTGAGTCGTTGCGATTTTTTTGGGACCAAAAAAAAAAAAAAGTGACCTCTTACCCCCCCCCCCCCCCCCCCCCCCCCCCCGCTTATTCAGCGGCTGGCTGAGTCGTTGCGAAATTTTCGGCCCGATTTATAAATGTTAAAACCCCCCCCCCCCCCCCCCCCCCTTGAAAAAATCCTGCGTACGCGCCTGGGTATGTAGTACGTCAATGATCGAAATAAGATGGTAATAAATAGCGACACTGAACTGTGGGAATTATCTAAGAGCCGTGGATAAACATTGTATGGACTATAGGGTACTTTCATGAGCAATTAACACTACTATGGTACGTCAACTAATCTTTTTTGAAAATTTGTATTTTCTGGTTAGTACATTTCTTTTTATTTATAAACACAGGGTTAGATGATGCGTTTTATAATGATATACTTGTATCTGCCAAAACGTAAACAACAATGTGACCTTCGAATATCTTTACTTTGATTTTAATGTTTATTTTTAAGGCTATCTTCCTTGATCATTTCTACCAACATCAGTTTTACTTTTTTGTTTAAAGAGTGTAATGTTTTTAAAGTTTTCTTTAATTTCATCTTACCCGCGATTTACATGTATAAGATTGCGCATATAACAAGTCAGATTCGGCTTCACCAGATACAATAGCCGAAAAACAGCTTCCGAGGTATGCCATGGGTAACAATGTCAGAAGTATATATAAAAATACCAGCGGTAAAAATGTCACAGGTAAAAATGCCAGTGATAACAATGCCGGGCAAAAATGTCAGAAATAGAAATTTCAGAGGTAAAAATGCCAGAGGTGAATTGTCAGAGGTAAAAATACCCGAGGTAAAAATGTCACAGGTAATAATGCCCGAGGTAAAATGCCAGTGGTAATAATGTCAGAAATACAAATGTCAGAGGTAAATTTGCTCGAGGTGAAATTGTCATAGTTAAAAATGCTCGAGGTGAAAATGCCAGTGGTAACAATGTCATAAATATAAATGTCAAAGGTAAAAATGCTCGAAGTGAGAATGTTAGAGGTAACAAATATGAGTAGTAAATATGTCAGAGCAGGGTCATTGAAGGAATATCAGGCTCTCATTCCCACTTATATGGGTGTCGATATTTCTTGGATATTTATGTATTTGCCGTATAGATTAAAATACAAGAAAACTGTAAAACTGTCTGTTTCGTTTCAACCTCTGTTGTTGTTCATCCCCAGAGTACACGTACCGTAAACGGCAGTTCCCGAATAAAAACCAATAAGAGATATTGCACATTTTTTTATTATTTTTTTTATTTAAGTTTTATTTCCACATTAACTGCATGTGAAAAGAATTTACAAAGTAAGGCATATACAAGTTAACAAAACATGTACATAATATTCGATTGATACAACAGTAATAAAAACGATGTAATGGCAAGTCATCAATTATCTGCAGTAATGAGGAGGAAACCTTGGAAGCATTATGCTTGTAATTAAGGTTCCCTTTACATAATACATTTTTACATAATATATAAAACAAAAAACAAAAGAAAAGAACAAAGTTTTCTTTTTTAGTAAAGTTCTCAGCTTGTGTAAGTGAAAAAAGGAAGACTGTCGGGTTGGATAATTGTGAAGTTGTTGATTCTTTTGGAATGTCGACATGATGGCATGAGGAAGTTCGTTAGAATTTAATCGAAACATAAAACAGCCTAAAAAGAAATTATACAGGTCATGAACTTTCAATATTTTATTTTCTAAAAATAAACTATTAGTGTGGCTTAACCTATTAGTGTGGCAGATTATTCGTATGACGCGTTTTTGAAGTATCAATAATTTGTCCAACTGGTAAGTAAATGAATTCCCCCATGCAGGTATGCCATAGTTAAGATAAGGCAAGATAAGCGTCGAGTACAAACTTTTCAAAATATACTTAGGAAAAGCAGGGCGTAAACAAATCGCACTGGTGGGATTAGCTAAGAAGAGAATAGTCAAATAATATGTTGGTCATTTTAAAAGGCACCAAAGCCTCTTAAAAGATGTGTTGGAGGAAAGAGTGGAATGAACTAGACCGAGAGGGAGACCCAGAATCATCTGGGAAGAGAATGTCAATAACTGGAGTGGACTAAAACTGCAAGAGTACATCAGAATGGCAGAAGATAGAGTGAAATGGAGAGATGTTGCAATCAACCTCCGAACCGGGAGAAGATACTTGATAGATAGATAGAATAAGGCCATGGGCCAAATACTGAGACACAATCTTAAATTAATATTTTTCTGTTACTTAACACCGTTACCTTTCATAATGTGCGTGTTTGCTCTAAAGTTGGTGGTAGTTGTGACCATTATGGCTATTGCCATGGTAATGGATGAAGAACATTGGAATTTAGAACGCGTCTTACAGCGACATACGGCTCATGTATGTGCACTTTTCACCAAAAATCGAAAAGAGAAAACGCGTCCCCGGATTTGTTATGGGTTTTTCCAGTAGTGCAAATGGCAGTCCAAAATATCGACTATTTTTCTAGATGGTGTTTGGGATGTGCAAGTGGGTATATTGAGTAATCATCCGCTTACAAGAAAACGCTTCTGGGAAAAGGGCATCATGCACATTCCCTGGTGATAAGAATATACGCGGGAGGGGTAGCAAACTTGATAGCCCCAGTCGGGAGCGGGGTTAAGGGGAGGGGGGGGGGGTGGAAACTATGATTTTGAAGAAGGGAGGCAGAGTGAATGATTATTCAATGACTAACACTTTGTGGTATAATCTATCATTCAAATGTATTAAATATCTTTTCACCTTATTGGAATTTTACCTCCGCCTCCCCCTCCCAAAACGAAAAGAATGTCTGTACCTACTGAGGTGAATAATAAATTTCCATGCACAGTATTATTAACACATTATGACACCGCAAATAAATCATCACATGATATAAAAAGGTGAGCGTACTCTAGATAAGAAAATCTTATAATCATAGCTCAAATGCATCTTCAAGAATCTGAAAGAGAAACCGGTTGATGAAAAATATGAAGGCCATTGATTTATAATTGACGACTTTAAGTGGGTTATAGAGGTTTCAATTAAATAAGCTTGGTTGAAGGCACTTTTTTTTGTCTACTTCGTGAAATAAATTTGTTGTAGAACCTGTCTAGAAAGCCACCTGCCTACACTTCAGTGCCCACTTTTCATGTTTCTGTTTTCCTTGGATGACAAGCTTGACTATGTTTGCGTGGTGATACCAAATACGAAGGTTAAATTAATCGTCTTTGTGCACTTAGTAATGTTTTTTATTTTGTTTTAATAAATAGTTTACTTCCTCTTTTAGATTGCCGGATACTTTCAACTTTCATTAGGTCTACGGCTTATTTCACATTCCGTGGGCAGTTTTGAAAATTTAAGAAATATTTCTTACAAGCAAAAAAAAGGGGGAGTGGTGAGTCTTTACTCGTATACAGGGCCTGTCATGTGGAATGCTATAACCCGACAGATTAGAAATAGCAGAACAGTTGAAGTGTGCAAAATATACTTAAAACGTTTGAAGAACCTTTTTATGGCACACTACACCTATGATCTACTCTTGTTGAAGTATTTTTCATAGGCCTATCACTTAAAGGGAAATCCTTCCTTGATAACGAACTACTCCATAGCCAAAGCAGAAAGAACTTCCGGTAAATCCGATGTCCGGTTCCTGTACCCTATCCACTGAGAGGTCGGTGACCCAATCATCGTCACGCGCGCGTCGTCAGTGGGTGATGCACTGTGGGATATGGCTGCCGACAAATCTGCACATTGTAAGCAATAGATCTCAGTATCCGTGAATCTTCAGTAGTGTAAGTGGAATACCCTGCATTCAGTTTTATTATTATTATCATCATCATTAACATTTAAGGTAATGCAAAGTTTTTGGGACATTTTGAAAATTAGATGGATAGTAATTCATTACAATTTTGGTATATTTGGATGCCCCTGTAGATGTATTATAAGCACTACAAAATTTAGCCCCTAAAACACTTCTGGTTTCGAGAAATTGAATAATCAAAAATTTACCGTTGCTCCCGGTAAATTTCAAATATTTCAAATAGCGCCTTAAGCCAGTCCATGGTAACGTAGCTGCGACCATCAGAATATGCTGTTCTAATATATTATTTCCAAACGGGAATAGAAAATCGGCGATTGTCAATAAACATTGTTTTTACAGCTAAAGTAATATAAGTCTTGAGAGGGAGCTATACAGCATAAAGAGTTTATTATTTACAATTTCATCACTTTAGGCCCGATTTCAACCGCGACAACGATCATTGAATATTGTAAAATCGCATATGCTTCCAACCTGTTCATTTGAACCAAATTCACGACCCCATACCAGAATTTTGAATTACCCTTTTATGTTATCATTACTATTATTATGATTATTATTATTATTATCATAATAATTATTATTATTTATATTATTATTGTTTAAATCATTAAATTCAAATCAGAAACGTACAGAGCTGCTCAAAATGCATGCGTGTTTACTCAAGAGGAACATGTCTCGTTAATCGAGGACATTTTATTGTCCTCCAATAGAGACTGCCTCCCTTCATGAAAAGGGTGACCTCAAGTCATTCTAGAATCACTTGGGAAGAACACAAACAACTACAAAAATAAAATCTCTAAGAAAATCATTGTATACGAGGAAAAAAGTATCTACAACAAAAAGTTCTTAAGACACTAAATAGATTATAAAACAGTTCAAATCGCTTTTGGTTGCAAAATTCACTTTCGCTCATGAAAGTCACTTTCACTCGCATTTGATCATTTGAAGTAGGCCTATATGCTTAATGAGTGTCGTTTTAGTTGATCATAAATCATAAAAGAGAAGGGTGAGTTTTGGAAAAGATGAGCAATTATTAGTTACACCTCCAAACCAACTCGTGACAGTCTCTAAACCGACCGATTCTTGGTCAGTCCGGCTGCGGTCTTTCTTCAAGCCCCTAAGTTACATATTATTACCAACAAAAATTGTATTATTAATGCCTCTATCTGTAAAACTTGAATTTTTGCATGAAAATTAATGTACAGCTATTTTTTCATAGCATATGACTTTAATAGTGTACATTACAATATAAACATTTTAGTTGTCAGGAGTTTTGTCAAGTTGTTTTGTATTCGCAGACATTAAATGTTCAACTTGATACTATTTGAATGCAACTCTCTCTCTCTCTCCTCCACTTTCATTCTACCTTTCTCTTTCATTTTATTGCATGAGTATTTTTAATTATAATGAGGACGTCAGCTCAAGCTGTGCTAATGACGACCCCCTTTTTTCTAAGTATGATTTTATGTGACAGTGCACCTTACAAATCATATATTTGATATGATGAAAATAAATGAACATCAAATAAAGTAAAATAAAATAAAATCTATTCCGGTCTCGTTAGGGTGATTGAGGGATAAAACTCTTAATTCGTAGTGTACGCCTAAATTTGAATCTCCGCTGTGAAATCGATCGATACCATATCGGCCAAATTGATATTTCACGTTTGTTGTTGTTGTTGTTTTAATTCCGTATAAAAAAATCAGATACGAATACATATAAAGTAATCATACAGAGAAAAAGGGACCGTATACGGCTGGTAGCCCATTTTCAGCTGCAACTATATTGTTGCTGCTGGTCTTCCATGGGGCCAGTTTACAATATGCAAAATATACGTAATATAACAAAATTAACAAAATAAATAATTACAGTATATAAGTATCAGTCTAAAACATAATACAAATACTTAAAGAAAAAGAAGAAAGAAAAAAAGAAAAAAGAAAAAAGAAAAAAATAGTAATACTCTAGGAAGTACCACGACTTCCACATTGATATCATCAATACACGTAAATACACGCCTGCACACGAACACACACACGAGCACACGCACCTACACATACGCACACGCACACGCACACGCGCACAAAAACCTAGAACTAACACTGCGTTCCAAATACTATTTTTCTGTTCCGCTTTATTTGTGTGCAATTAAACACTTTCTTCATCAGATCCAATATACAATCAATGTTTTATAAGTACGACATCCCTCACCTTTACATTCTTTCTTCTTTATCGTGCCACTTCGTCTTTAATCTTAGAATAGATAATATCATTTTTGCCTGGTTGATGTATCATTGTGCAGAAACATGTTATT